AATGGGAATGGAAAGCACCATAAGCAGGTGCAAGCGGTGATCACTGTGAGAAGTGAGAGAGAGTTAGAGCCTCGGCCAGTTGCGTTTGAAGCAACTAGGGCTAAGAGGGTGACCATGGCGGTAAACATAAAAGGGGGATGACTTAGTCCCTAGTACTTCACATGAGTCTAAGGCATCTCTCCAATGCCTTGATACACCGTCCCCTTTTAATAAGAAGGAGGCATCCATGGAAGCGATGATGGAGGTTTTTAAACAAGTTAAAATCAACCTCCCCTTGTTGCAGGCGATTAAGCAAGTACCCTCATATGCTAAATTTTTGAAGGACCTTTATACGCAAAAGTGTAAATCTAGAACAACGTGTCCCAAAAGGTCTTACTAATGGAGCAAGTAAGCTCCATTTATTGATGACACCTCCCCTAAGCTTAAAGACCTGGGTGCCCCAACCATTGCATGCATTATAGGGGATCATTTCATTGATAGGGCCTCGTTAGATTTAGGGGCTAGTGTCAATTTGTTGCCGTACTCTGTGTATGAAGATTCGGACTTGGCGACCTGAAGCCCATTACTGTTACTCTTCAATTGGTTGACCAGTTCCTCAAAGTGCCACGTGGCATGATTGAGGATGTGCTAGTAAAGGTCGATATGTTTTATTGTCCTATTGACTTTTTGGTTTTAGATATGGAATTGGTAGCCAGCTTTCTTGGCTACAGCCAATGCATGCATAAATTGTCGTACTGAGGTTATGGATGTTTCATTTGGAAATATGCAAGTGAAACTCAATGTTTTCTAAGCATCCCAAAAACCCCATGAAAGAGAGGAGTGTTTATTTGTGGATATTGTGGATGGGATTGTGGAGGAGGCTTTACCCTCCATTCTTGTAGAGGAGCCTCTAGAAGCTTGTCTAGTTCATTTTGGGTTCGAAAATTTTGATATTGACAGGTTAGTTGAGGAAGTGAATGCCTTACTTAATTCTTCTCCAACACTGGATTTTCCTCCATGGAAAGCTCAGTTTGAGTCCCTTCCTTCTCTGTCTAGAGAGCTTACCATACTATCCATAGTCACACCACCTACACTTGAGTTGAAGCCACTTTCGACCACACTCAAGTATGCTTTTTTAGGACCAAAGGATACTTTACCTGTCATCATTGCATCTGACTTAACTACAGAGCAGGAAAGTCAATTAATGAGTGTTCTTGTGGCACATCGGGGTGCTATAGGGTGGTTGGTGGCTAATTTGAAAAGGATAGATCCCTCTATGCGCATGCATCATATACATCTAGAAGAGGACACCAAACCTTCTCATGAAATACAACGGAGTCTTGATCTAAACATGAAAGAGGATGTGAAAAAAAAGGTGTTGAAATTGTTAGATGCAGGTATTATATGCCCCATCTCAGATAGCAAGTGGGTGAGTTCCACACAAGTGGTGCCTAAGAAATCGGGCATCACTATTATAGAAAATGAACAATGAGAGTTAGTCTCCACACGAACCACTAGTGGGTGGCGAGTGTGTATTTATTATAGGAGATTGAATTCCATGACTTGGAAGGACCATTTTCCTTTGCCATTTATTGATCAAATTCTTGAGAGGTTAGCGGGGTAGGGTTTTTATTATTTTCTTGATAGCTACTCGGGGTATAATCAAGTCCCGGTTTGCCCCGCTGACCAAGAAAGACAACGTTCACTTGCCCTTTTGGCACTTTTGCTTACAGACGCATGCCCTTTGGGCTATAAAATGCACCGGCGAATTTTCAATGGTGTATGATGGCCATTTTCTCCGATATGGTGGAGAAATTTCTAGAGGTTTTCATGAATGATTTTTCGGTGTTTGGACCGTCTTTTGAGGAATGCCTTAGGAATTTGACTAGGGTATTGGAACGATGTATTGAGGCAAACCTGATTTTGAGTTGCGAAAAGAGCCATTTTATGGTTCGTGAGGGTATAATGTTGGGACATCCTGTCCCCTCAAGGTATAGAGGTAGACAAAGCTAAAGTTGATCTCATTGCAGGCCTTCCTCCACCCACTTCTGTGCGTCAAGTCCGATATTTCTTAGGGCATGTAGGTTTTTACCGTAGGTTGATCAAAGACTTTAGTAAAATATCTCGTCCTTTGTGTAGTTTACTTGTTAAGAACGCACCTTTTATCTTTGATGAGGCATGTTTGAAAGCCTTTGAAACACTAAGAGTGGCCCTTTCTACCGCCCCAATCATGAAATCACCGGATTGGTCATTTCCCTTTGAAATCATGTGTAATGCCTCAAATTATGTTGTCGGGGTTGTGTTGGGCCAAAGGGTCAGTAGGGCACCCTATGCTATATACTATGCTAGTCGCACTCTCTCGAATGCACAATTGAATTACACTACCACCGAGAAAGAGTTGCTAGCTGTGGTCTTTGTCTTAGATAAATTCCGGTCCTATCTCCTAGGTTCCAAGGTCACAACCTTCATTAATTATGCCACTTTACGGTATTTAGACCAAACCTAGGTTGATTAGATGGATTTTGTTGCCTCAGGAATTTGACCTAAAGATCCGAGATAAGAAAGGATTTGAGAATGTGGTGGTGGATCACCTCTCCCAAGTCCTTGTTGCGTATACTAGTGACCCTTTAACTTTGCATGATTCGTTTCCAGACGAACAACTTCTTGTGGTGTCACGAGCCAGCCCTCCGTGGTTTGCACATATTGTGAATTACTTGGCCATTGGGCAAATTCCTAAAAATTGGTTTAAGCGAGACAAAGACCGATTCTTTTCACAGGTTAAGTATTATTTTTGGGAGGATCCGGAGTTGTTTAAATATTGCTCCGACCAAGTGATTCGACAGTGTATGCCGAAGAGTGAGGTGCATAGCATTTTTATATTTTGTCATTCTTCCTCATGTGGCGGTCATTTTAGTGGGCATAAAACAGTCGCTAAGGTTTTACAAAGCGGGTTTTGTTGGCCCACCATTTTTAAGGATGCCCATCAATTTTGTAGAACTTGTTTGCACTGTCAGCAAATGGGTTCGATATCTCGTCGTGATATGATGCCAATGCCCTCTATTCTTGTGGTAGAGATCTTTGATGTTTGGGGGATTGATCTTATGGGCCTTTTTTTGTCGTCATTCGGGTTTGAGTATATTCTCTTGGCAGTAGATTACATTTCTAAGTGGGTGGAGGTGATAGCTACCCAAACAAACGACCATAAAGTAGTGATAAAATTTTTGCGTGAAAATATCTTTAGTCGTTTTGAATTTTCTAGAGCCATAATAAGTGACCAAGGTACACATATTTGTAACCGGTTCTTTGAGTCGGTAGTTAATAAATACTCTATCACTCATAAAGCTGGCACTCCTACCACTCTCAAACTAGTGGCCAAGTAGAGACATCTAATAGGGAGGTAAAGCACATAATAGAGAAAACGGTGAGGCTAGATAAGAAATATTAGTCAAAACGTTTGATTGATGCATTATGGGCACCTATCGGGATGTCACCATATAGAGTAGTGTTTGGCAAAGCTTGCCACCTCTTGGTTGAACTTGAGCATTGAGCGTTGTGGGCTATAAAGAAGTTTAACTTCGATAGGGCTATGACTAGGCTCAACCGGAAATTGCAACTCAATGAGTTGAAGGAAATTCGAAATGATGCATATGAGAGTTGGAAAATTTTTAAAACTCAGACTAAGGAATTCCATGATAAACACATTAATAGAAAATCCTTTGAACCCCGGCTAAAAAGTATGACTTTTTAACTCGAAATTGAGACTCTTTCTAGGTAAGCTTAGATCAAGATGGGATGGTCCCTTTGTGGTTATAGAGGCATTTATTCATGGCGCCGTTGAGGTTTAAAATCCAAGGAATGGCCACACTTTCAAAGTGAATGGCCAAAGACTGAAGCCGTATATAGAGGGGATTAGGAATGAGGATATGATTGAGTCCATTGCTTTGATGGACCATTTTACTCTGTTTTGAGAGATTGATATATTGTTCTCTTTTCTTTCCTTTCTATTCTATTCTATTTTTATTTATTCTTGCCGTGCTTTATTTGATGTCTGGGAGACTTTAAATCCTTTAAAGGTATAATTCCTTTGGTGTTAGCTGTGCCCAAATGGCATTTGATGATCTGGTATAGCCACCTAACTGTGTTTGTAGTAAGTTCCTAGGAGACCAACTTAGGCGGTGGAAACTAGAGTTCGAATGGCAGAGCCTAGAATGCAAAGGTTTGAAATTTTCAAGACTAAATTCTATTTTAAATACCCAAGGGTGTGGAGATTGCTTCAAAACCACCCCGACTTGAACTCTGTATAGTAAACCTATAGGTCGAGTTAGCTTTATGTGTCTCGATTTTGGATACTGAATCAACCTAGTCTGTTACCTTGTTAAAGAATAGGGAAAGTTACAAACATTGTTAGGCAGAAAAGTAGTACCCGTGGTTTTTGCGTGAAGATTATACTTTTGTTGAGCATTTAGTTATTTTTGAAATGGTATATTTATTTCAGATGTGAAATGAAGGTATAAATGACTTGAATTGTTTTTGGATGTACTTGGGTTTTAAAAAAAAAAATCCTGCACATGCGGCACAACCCACCGCACGTGCAACGAAAACTCCAGTCTACAAATTTGCTACTGCTTTAAATATAGAAGTGCGATATGGTGCGGCCTGGGTCCCGTACGTGCGAGAAATTTCTTGAAACAAATTGCATCACTTGCTTTATATGCAGGTGCGTGACCGGGTGCGCGTGCGCTGCCGCACATGCTACGTACTATCCCTCACATGTGGAATGACGTCGAATTATAAAATTTTTTAAAAAAATTCATTTTTTTCCTTTTATTTGTTTATTTGTTTATTTCTTATTTATCTACTAAATAAAATAAATAAATAATAAAAATTATTACATTTTTTTATTTTATCTATTTTATTTTATTTTATTTTTGTTTTTCCAAAAAAAAAAAAAAATTGATTTCATCACAACCCTAGCCCACTCTCATCACTCTCACAGATACACTTTCTCTCTGCCTCACATATTCTCTCTCTCTCTCTCTCTCTGCCTTATCATCTTCTTCTTTCCTTTCTCTTTCACTCAAACCCCACCACCACCAACTTTCTTCATTCTTCTTCCCACTATCACTAATCTTTACCCAACCTCTTCTCACTACCACTCTACCATCGGAGCCTCACTGTCGGCGCCCTACCTTCTCTCCGTCCTGCAATCTCCGGCGACCAGCATTTTTTTTCGGCGGAGCTTCTTTCTTTCTCTTCACTAATTCAAGGTACATCCTCCTTTTTGTTTAAACTTTGCATTTATTCTTTCAATCTTCCCTTGTAGTGAGGTTTAGGGATAGTTTAATAGAGATCCATTGCTCATCCTTTAAAAATATTTTTTTTAAAAAAAAATCTAGGTTGCCAAGAAGTTGACCGCCGCACGTGGGGCTATCTTCGATGCCCGTGCTCAACTTATAGCAAAAAAAAAAAAAAAAAAAACCACTGGTAGCTCAATAACGATACAGCTTTGCAGAATTCTATCATGAATAAGAAGAGATTGACGAGGATCATCAGGGTATTTATAGTAAACTGTGTAGCCTGAGCAGCCTTTGTAATCACTGTACGATTATGGTGAAAGAATTCCTTAATCTGCTTGTCAGGTGCACTGCTGCCGGTAGGGCATTTGAAGAAGGTGAGACTAGGGGAGACTAAAAGAAACAGAAGGTGTAGTGGGAAGAGTCCAGCTCAAGTAGAAAGTGAAAACATCAAAACTTTTGGATTTTATGAGGCTTTCAAGCCTTTTGTCAGCAACATTAAGAACACGTTGATCATCATTTTAAAACTTGCCTTGAAGTTCATTCCAATTTTGATCATCTATACCGAAATTGAGTTTTAGAACTTTTTTCCTGCAATCTACAGTGCATAACCCACAATTTAGCAGAAAATAAAAATAAAAATAAAAAACCCATCAAGAGCCTTTGTATAATGTTTGTTGATCATGTTGGTTTGGCTTCTTGACACGGTAATTGACTTGGAAATACTGTTAAAGAAGAGAGGATTGGCACAGAGAGAGAGAGAGAGAGAGAGAGAGAGAGAGAGAGAGGAGAATGGGGTGAAAGTAGAGACAAGTGGCCTAACGACGTTCACCCATTGAGTCTTCGGACACTCCTTCCCCTGTCTTTGTTGAATGAATGAATATATGCATACTCTTTGACTTTTTCAAACTCCCTCTCTTTCACCAAAAAAAATTATTCAGAAAATTACTTAAAAATATAAATGAGGATTTCGGATTTATTCTAGATTAAAGCTGCAAACAAATACAACTGTTCATGAACAAAGTCGAGTTTCGTTTAGTAAAGACTCATTTAAATATGGTTTGTTAATTTTTTTATTGCGTTCAAAATCATACTCGATATCTGTTGGCTTTTTTGGCATTCGAAGGTTAATTTTGTAATTGCGAGCGTGCCAGCAAGGATCAATCAGTCCTTACAGAAATTTAATTGCCAACCAATTATCAGACGATTGTGTTTTAGTTCTTTCAGCCTCAATGAAGAGGACTTTTACTGATGGCTTGATTTAGGAGAATTAAGGAAAATATCAATCAAATGAAAAACAATTGAAGCATTTCATTAGAATGAAAAACTTACAATGATCCAAACTCAGCCTCGTAGAGGTTTAGAGCGACAACCTACTTGAAACTACTCCTATGAACGAAGTGCAGTACAGGAATTTAAAGTACAGGAATGTAAAGAATAGGAAATGTAAAACTGGAAAGAAAAATAAGTAAAGTAGAATAAGACTGGTTTTTTGGATCTGAGTCTGGGGGTTTTTCTGGGGGCCTTCTCTGCTATTTATACTTCTCAAGGATGACCATCGAACTGTATTTCAAACCGTCGAATTGCTCCTCCATGATCGCTGATCATGTTGCTTTACAAGTAGTTCCACTATGCCATCACTTGCAGTTAGGCTTCCCTCATAAATTTGAATTTGAATGTGAGTAACCGTTGAAGCCACATCACTTTGCATCTCTTTGCTGATCCAATGCTACTCAGATCTCGTAAGAACCAATATTAACTGCCACATGTACAATCATGATTGAAGACTTAAACATTCTTCCCGTATTGCCCTTACTTTTCCACGTGTTGAATTGTAATTGGCTTATACAAAATATGTAGCCAACATTACCCACCGCACTAATATACCCAATACTTGGTGATATTAGTGGATCAAAGTCTTTTTCCCGCGTTTTTAGAATGTGCATGGACTTTGTATTTTAGAAACACAACCGTCATCCATTGATGATCATTTGCATTAACTCTCTTTCAATCTTTTGAACACCCCCACCACCTTAGTATTCGAAAAGACTGATACCTCTTTCATGGCCAAATCATCTCTATTGATCGAACATATGAAGAGTCATTTGATGATGCTGTTTCTCCTCAAAGGAACCTCCATGCATTAATTAGCCACCTTTACCCACCTTTTTAAATTCAAGTGATGGAAGCCTTTGCAAATTATCAACCTTTGGACTACGAACACATTGCCCTTAATCCTTCGATTCAGAAAGTTACAAACATGGACGTGGGAAATTCTTATTCTGATTCACCCTTGGGCTATGAACAAACTGCCCTTAATCCTTTGATTCAGAAAGTTGCAGATATGGACATAGGAGGCCCTTCTTCACAATCCTCTATATGGGATAAGGCTGTGGCTTCTATTTCCTCCGGGGCTTCTGGCTGGTCAAGCTGGTCAGAACCTGAGGCTTGCGATTTGAGGGAGCGAATTAATCACCATTTTGTCGAGTTCACTGACCCTTTGGATTTCCTTTCCGATGCTCGAAGCTCGGTGGTTTATCCTTACGTGCCTATTGACCATCGACGCAGTTTAGAGGACAATCTACTCGTAGCATGGTACACATCATTCATGCCTACAAAAATGGTACGATCTATTCCCCGCCCAGAAGAGGCACAGGGGTATAGCCCCTCATTCTTAGCCAGGAAGGCGAAGCTTCATCCTTCTGACTAGCTTGATTGTGTCAATGTCCCTCGATTTCTTCCTTCCTTTGAAATGGAGGTCTCTATACCTCCTCCTCCGAAAACACTTTCCTGGATGGAGAGGTTGAAGCTTACTCTTTCTGCGTTTTCTCTCCTTACGAGCCTCCATCTCTTCTTACTCCATCTCAACAGAAGCAAGCCCAACTCCTACTTGCAGCCTTTTCTCACCTACCCTTCAATGTTCTTGAGGACGATATTCCCCTCAAGAACCTTCAATGGGCCTGTGATATTTTGACTCGGGGCCATGTCCTCAACCCCATTGCCTAAGCAAAACTTCACATATTTTTGGACCAACTCCCATCACTTCTCCATTGGCACCGCACTTCTTTGGCCACCACTTAATCCTTGGATCAACTTTCATCCCTTCGAGTTCACACCCAATACGAAGCAGAGAATCTCGTTGAAGAATACAACGACTTCAAAAATAAAGATTCTGTGTATTGGGATGATTTGGATATGGATGAGTTGGAACAGGGATTGAGAGAAACAACGTTCGAAATAAAGGCCAAAGAGCTCTTTTATGAGGTGAGATCACATTAACTTCAACAACCAGTCCTAGAACAAATAGAGGATAGAATAAAGAAAGAAGAGAAATTCATTGATCATAGTTGGGTCAAATTTCATGATCTTGTCATTTACTCTATTCCTTACTTTTATGAACTGGAATTTGTACTAAAAGAGGAACTTTTAATGTAATCGCTTTTATTTCGATACATCTAAGTCTTTTCTCTTTGTTTGGTATTGTTTGATTTTGATCTCTATTTGTCTTTATAAACAAGTTTAGGGCTTCGAATTAACCAATCTTACCCTTCGAATTTGGATCCAATCAAATCCAATAAAAATGCTGAAAAATCAACATGAATTTTCTAACTTATGGACTAAAGTTGACAGTTTTGTTGATTTCTGTTTAGAATCGGTGCTTCAAATTTAATAATCTTACCCCTTTAATCATAACCAAAATATGGTCATGGTTAGTACTGATCATTTTTTCTTCGAACAACAGTCCATACTTCCAAAAATATGGAAGCTCCTCTTGGGGTTGCACTATTTTAGTCCAAAAAGACAATCCTTTTAGTATATATATAAACCAACTATTGGTTTTGACATTTTGAACACCAATTCCCATTCTTAAGGGGCCCCAAGTTTTGCTTCGAAAGACATTACTTTCATTAAGAAACCTAACACAGGTCTTTTAATTCCTTCGAAACGAACAAATACTTTGAGCATCCTTACATCTTTAAGCATGGAAAGTGCTTCGAAGCCGGCTTCTCTGTTTCGAAGCCGTTATTATTTGACTTTTGGTGCCAAAATCTAGTTTCGAGGCCAAATATTTTACTTCGAAGCTGGCATTAACATCTGGGCTGTGTTTTTTCCCTTCAAAAGTATCAATATTGAAGGAAACTCTTCATATTCGTACTTTTAGTACTTAACGAATCGCGCGATATATCTCCCAGACACAAAGGCTTTTAAAATGCTTTTATTTCGTGCTCTAAAATTACTTGCTCGCTTAACACACAAACCCTTCTCTTCTGTTAAACCTCTCTTCCTTGCTACTTGCTACCAATGGATCCTTCCTCTTTGAAAGTACTTGCTGGCGATCGTATAAGCCCAACCATGGCTTTGAAAAAATGTATTGATGAAGAAATCGCCAAGCTAACAACTGATGGGTCAAGTGCCATAGATGGACGCCTCTTCGTTCCTCGCCACAACAACAAACAAGAGTACGTCCTAGGTCCCATCTTTCGGGAAGCTCCTGCTCAACTTCCAGCTTTATATCCTCGCTTGGAGGACCACTTTCTTCTCTACGAAGGAGGGCTCAATTAAGGGAATTGGAGAATGACCCGGCCTCACCGTTGCTGGCTGACATTGAGAACTGAATGGGAGGAATGACATGACAGAGTTGTGCCTGTGAGAGAAGATGACCTGCAAGAGCTTTGTATCCTCGACGCCCTTCGTCTTTCCAGGTTCATCATCCCTGAGGACCCCTTTTTGATCCTGCTGCTCTTTGCTTTTGGAATATGGCTTTTAATTTTTTCTAGTTTCGGTGTGGCATGATGGCCCCCATCATTCTTAATATCTGCCATCTCTTTGGGCTTTCATCCCTTCGCTCTCCTTTCACTCCCAGTTACCCAGGCCTCTCTGTCAAATTTTCCCTTCCGCCCTTAAACTCCTCTTACAGTGACTTTGTAAAGGCTGAAAATAAAAGGGAAGGCCCCGTGAGAGATAGGGAACTTTTTTCCTTTATTTTATACTAGTTGTGCAAATTTCTCTTTTGTACATCATCTCAGAGGATTATACCTGAATTCGCTCCACTTGCGAAGGCACTCGTTTTGAAAAAATGCATAGCCCTTGCTCCTTATCTCTTAGGCCATGTTTACAAAGCATGCTCCCAATTTTGTGAAAAACCTCTCGATGTTAACCAAGGAGGTCCCCTCTGGGTGCTCCAACTCTGGCTCTTCACCTATTTCACTGATTTGCATCCCAAATGCTTAAAATTCCTTGTTCAGGATCCTAGCACTTATGGGGAGAAGTATGCTAGGATTGTTCTTTATCCTGCTTTCCTTTGCTTATTACCTTACCTTTTTTACCAACTCCCTATTTCTCCATCTGCCACCTTCTTTTATCCCTTTGATGCCAGCAAAGGACTTGTTTGGCTGCAAACCTTTTTGGCTGATAAAGAGTGCTCCACCTCACCACACAAAGATATGTGGGCTTCTATTCTGCTACCGAGGGAGCTGTTCATTGGCACTTTAAACCCTCGAGCTTATAAATGTATATCTGAGGTGTATTGCCCTTCTCAGTTTGCCAGGCAATTTGGGTTCACTTAGGGGATTCCTGTTCCACTTTGCAGTCTCTCGAATGTTTATCTCACGGCTAGAGACCTGAGAATCCCCAAATCCAAACTAGAGGCGGCTACATTCAAACTGCTGAAAGAATTGAGTGAGTTCACATTTGTCTCATTTCTTCCATCTGGCTTGGTTTTGAAAAGATTCCAAAACTGGTGGACAGCCAACATGGAAGTACGCCTATCAGTGCACCCTCACGATTTACTGAAAGGGTTAGGAGTGCCTTCTAAGGCTAAATCAACAACAGCCGAGAACATGCCTTCTCTTTCCACAGTTGCTCAAACTGTTCCTGCAGCCTCAACCCTTCCAGCTAGAGTCACTAGAGCTGCTTCAAAAAAGGGTTAGTATTCTCAGGTTCCTTTTCTTTTCAACTCTTTTTTTTGTTTCCTCTTCACTCATACATTTTAGTGCAGGGTCTCTACAAAAAGAATCTCCTAAGAGAGCTGAAACTCTAGCTGTTCACAAGGACAAACAACAGCAGAAAAAGAAAAGAAAGCTGGTACTCACTCTTGAAGAATCTAAATCCCAAACCGAAGAGAGGGAGATTGAGAAAGAACAGGAGGTACCATTACAGAGGAAAAAGAGAAAGCAGATGACTGTCTCTTCTGCTGATTCAGTCGAAAAACCTACTCATGGGACAGCTACCAAAGTAGCAGAAAAGAAACTCGCCCCTGAAGAGTCTGAGTCCCATCTTGAAGAGAGAGAGGTTGAGAAAGAACAGGAAATACCAGTACCAAGAAGAAAGAGAAGGAAAATGACTGTCTCTCCTTCTAACTTGGTCGAAGACCTTGTTCATGAGGCGGCCGCCAAGGCAGTAGAGCATGAGTATTCTAAGGCCCTAATTGTTTTTTAGAGAGCTGAGAAGAGATGGCAGCAGCAGTGCTTAAGAGATGAAGTTGCTGCTGTTGATGCAATCCAAAGGGACACTGTAAGAAGGCAGCAAATTGCTGAGCACTATTCCCTTCGCAACTCTCCCACTGTTGCTACCTCTTCTGAAACAAGTAACTTCTTTCAAGTCTCTACTATCTTTTTCCTTGTCAAATTTTGGTATTGAGACTTAACATTACTTTATACTTCTTCTTTTTTCAGCAACAACTACTGAGCCTGTTCTTCCAATAAGGACTTCCTCAGTTTCAGTTGAAGTTGATCAATTGCAAACTGTGAGATCCATTCAGATAATACTCCCACTTCCTAGGCCTATATTCTCTGTACCCTCCTTGAGGCCAAGTATTCCTGCATCTCTTTCCTTTGGATTAAATCCATATCTTCCTTACTTATCTTTTGATCTACCTCAATTCAGTTCTCTTTCGAGGCTTGCTCTTTCTCCTTCTTCTAAGGAAATTCCAACTGATGCTCCATCTCTGATGGTAGTTCATTCCCCTATAGAGGGTGCTGGCAGCTCTCCAATTCATAGTTTATTATCGCTGCCTAGTTCCAGCCCTTCTTCCCTTGACCTATTGGTGGCTAGGACCATAGAGACTGCTGAAGATGCTCCACCTATTTCTCCTATCCCTATGCAGTCCTCTGTGCCTTCCACTACAGCTCTTTTTGCGCCCCTCATGTCCACGGATGAGGTAGATATCTTCGAAGCAAGACTCGCCAGTCTCTGCGACATGCCCTCTACCTCTTCAATAGCCAATGATGAAGCTGAGCCATTAGTTTTGGCTGACTCCTTGCTAGAAATTTTTCAGAGTCCTTCTTCCAGTAGTAAGCCTTCTACACCTCTAATAGACTTAGACAACTGCCTGGAACTATTGACATCTTTTTCAAGGATTCCTTTCGAGGCCCTAGAGAGACCTATAATAAGGAATGGCTTCCTTCAGTGTTGCAAAGTTGTTCAGCAATCCGGCATGAGTGTTTCAAGTCATCTATCTCAAGCAGCAGCTACTATTGACTTCTACATCAATATTTGCTATGCTGCCAAGGCTGCAGAGGAGAAATTGGTTAGAGATCAGAACTTTGTTTCAATAGTACATGCTGAGGTATCAGAGCTAAAGAAACAACATTCCTCTGTCTCCCAATTTCGAACTCAACTACTGGAGAGGAAGGCTCAACTTGAGGAGGAGCTATCCATAGTCAACCAGGCCTTAGTCCGAACTGATACCAAGTTGCTGATCACTAACCAAGGATTGGTCGATCGAAAGCAAGAAATGACTATAGCCATTCAGTTGTTTTCATCCTTTAAAAATAGAACATATGTTGTAAAAGAACAACTAAGGCATTGTCATGATTTCTGGGCCAATTTATGGCAGAATATATTTAATTCTTTATGGAAAAAAAAACTCTTGTTTATCATTTGAGTATTCTTGTGTTCTTGTACTTAGTATTTATTTTATTCCTTGTGTTTCCCAAATGGTTGGAAAATAAGGCTTTAAATATCTGCCATTAATCTTTTTGGGATGTACACATCCATTCAAATTTCTCAAATGGTATGCTCCAAAAGGTAGGACTCTATGAATTTGATATGGTCCTTCCCAGTTAGGTGACCATTTGCCAAACTTATAGCTTTTAATTCCTATTGGGAGTATTATCTTCCAAACTAAATTACCTTCATCAAAGCCAATGTGTTTGACTTTCTTATTATAATTTTTGACTGCTTTCTTCTTTTGAAAAAGAATGCTATTTAATGCCAGAATTCTAGCTTCATCTATGCCTTCTAATTCCAAGCACATACTCTGATGGTATTACTCAGGATCTAGTTGGTCTTGGCATCTTACCCTCAAGGACTTAACATTAATTTCCACAGGTAACACTGCATCATGCCCATATACTAAGGCATAAGGAGTAACTCCTGTGCTTGACCTTGGGGAAGTTCTATAAGCCCACAATACATCCAACAATAAATTATGCCAATCCCTAGGATTGTCTTCCACAACCTTTTGTATTCCTTTCTTCAAGGACTTATTGGATGATTCAGCTTGACCATTGGCTTGTGCATAATAGGAGGTGGAATTAACCAGGCTAATTCCAAACTCTGCCACAAAAGACTTCACCATTTTCCCATCGAACACAGTCCCATTATTAACAGTTATAGTTTGTGGGATGCCAAATCTATGGATTAAATCCCTAATGAATCCAATGACCTCAGTCTGGTCCACAGCCTTGTATGGCTTAGCTTCGACCCACTTAGTGAAGTAATCATGGCCACTAAAATGAAACAATGATGCTTCGAAGAGGGTGGGTGTATTTTTCCAATCATATCCATGGCCCATCCTCTAAATGGTCAAGGCTTTACTACTGCATGCAGGTCAGTTATGGGCACATGCCTTATTGTGCCATGCTTTTGACATGCCTGGCAACCTCTTGCATATTCTATGCAGTCTTTAAGGATAGTTGGCCAATAGTAGGAATGCCTTCGAAGCAACCATCTCATCTTCACACCAGGCTGATGGGCACCACAGATGCCTTCATGAACCTCAGCCATAGCGGTTAATGCCTCTTTTGGGCCCAAACATTCCAGCAATAAACCATCTCCCCCCCCTTTTGTAGAGAGCATTACCATACATCATGTATTGCATAGACTGCAATTTAATTTTTCTGCTGGCCTTTGAAGATGGGCCAGCCAAGTGCTGCATTATTGGATGCCTCCAATCTTGTTCTTGTAAGTCATCATGATTGACTTCCAAGACCACATTCCTTTTATTCAAGGGCGGTATTAATTTCTGATATGTTGTTTGGCTTATGTCCCTTTGAGCATTATCCATTCTCTTGAAATTTGAAACTTTCTGAGCCACATCATTAGCTCTATTATTCAAGAATCTTGGGACATGAGTTACATTTGCTATTTGAAATTGAGAAAGCAGATGTAAGGCAACAACATAGTATGGCAGCATGTTTATACTTTGACATTTGAAAATCCCTTTCACTTGGTTAACCACCAATTGAGAATCTCTAAATATATCAACTGCATGAACTTGTAATCCAATAAGAATTTCCAGCCCCATTATTAAGGCTTCATATTCAGCTTGGTTATTAGAACAAGTAACTTCATCCACTTTGAAACCATGTGTGGTTTCTACTCCTTGTAGTGACTTAATCACAATACCAATTCCAATTAGGCCATTGGCTTTTGATCCATCGACCCACATTTGCCATGGCTCAACACTAGCCATACCAAGTTCCATTATCTCTTGGCTTTCTGTTTGAGATGGATGGTCTGCCAAAAAATTGGCTAAAACTTGTCATTTTACTGTCTTTTGGGGAACATATTCTAAATGAAATTTTGATAAGGCTAGTATCCATTTGCCAATTCTTCCCCTCAACATAGGTCTAGATAACATGTACTTAACCAAATCTGTGGTTGCAATTGCCAAGACAGTTGTAGGCAAAATATAGTATCTTAATTTCATTGCAGCAAAATACAATGCAAGGCACAACTTTTCTACAGCTGAGTATTTACATTCACAAGAATTTAGAAACCTACTAAGGTAATAAACAGCTTGCTCTTTGCCTTCTTCATTGTCTTGGGTTAAGAAAGCTCCCAATGAATCTTCTGCTGCAGCTATGTACAACTTCAAGGGTGTAGACGTCCCCGAACGCCCCGGGAGGAACGAGCTCCCGTTCCGTTCATTTTGGGGTCACTAGAGCTCAGGACTCTAAAATTGTCACGGTTCTAAATCTGAACCAAAGAGTCCAAATCCGGCAAATCGTCTTGAGAAAACATATTTTGAAAGAAGTGCCAAACATGGACTGCTTTGCCAGATACAGAGTCGCCACCTAAATATTTTATTTTTGGGAAATTTAGGAAACCCTGACTCGTTTGCCTAAGGCCACGTGTCCGTCATCACCAAAGTTGCCTCGGCTTGGGAACTTGGGTACGATTGGGGAAGGTCACTTCGTGAGCACCCCTGCTCGCCCGGTCAGAGACCGGCCTCTACTAACCATGATATCTATTTTTGAAAACATTGTATGTTCTTATTCCGGTTATTAGCCTAGGTTACTATGTGATGCGCACAACATACAAGTATAGACTGAGTCGCCTGAATTGGAACAAAACATTTCATGTTTGTTTGTTTGAAAATGGTTTGATGGTGCTACCCGCAGGTAGGCAAAGACGTGGATTTGCCACCCTCGGGTGGGCTTAGAAAACATGATTTTGCCACTATCTAGTGGGCTTAAAACACACATTTGATGAATTATTCCAATTCAAATAACCCAACCTTCACCCACAGGCACTCAGGCAGTTATATCACATAAGCAATTACCTCATGGTAAGCATGCTATTCATGGCAGTCACTCACACGCATGCAAGGATGCTAAAGCATAGAACTTACCGAGTACTCCAAGCCAAAATAGAAACTACATTAGAAATCATGCATGATCCTAAGTATACAAAAATGCCTAATGCAACATATGCAAAAATGCAACTATAGCAGGCTCGGCTATTCTAAACATGGCATATGGAATGCTACAGCTAACATGTATTCAACTTGGAATTGAAATACAAATGCAGTTAGTATGATGCGCCGAGCCCGGTGCATGCAAAACAGATGAATGAATGCAAACATGCTATCATACTGTATGCTAATTGAAATATGCCCTAATCTAACCATCATAAGCAGGTAAATAAAAGGGAGAAAGACGTGGGGTTGGAAGGCATACAACACACACACGCACACTTATTACAGTTGTGCCCTCGCGCAGAGGGTCCGAATAAATATACTTTCCCGAATAAAAGAATATTACAGTCCAAATAATATACAAATTCCTAATTAATTAATCAAATTAACTAAGAAAGCTGTAAAACTGGCGTGCAAGCTAGGGCCTGCCTTGCTTCTGATGAATGTTGTATGTTTGGGCTGCCTTGCGCAGAAATCCACTGGGATGCCCCAATTAGCCTCTGTTTAGCAGTTACCTTGAAATGCGTGCCAAGACTCCGAAAAGTTGCTGATTCTTCATTTTGCCTTGAAGGCTTGACTTTGGTTGCCTCTTGCCTTGAGTTTGCGGCTCCTCAGGCCTTGGAGAACACCTTCAAACTTCTGGAATGGAGGATGGAAGGGTGGGGCTTGGTGGTGTAGGACTTAGAGGTTTTTTCAAGGAAATAAGAGAGATGGAGGGAGATTTGTGTATCAAGGCTTAAAACCAATTTTTCTAACCCCTAAAACAAATGTTGGCAGCTGGTTATAAGGACCAAGGAGAGGGGGAACATGGAGGGAAAGGGTGGGGGAAAAGGACCAAAGCTTTTCCCCAAAAAGTGTCCCCCGGATTTAGATATTTCTGGGGGACAACAGCTATACAGCTGTAAAGTGCCTA